ACACAGCACTTCACCTAAGAAGGAGAAAAATGACTGCTGCTGAACCCAGGACACTTACTCATTAAGGAGAAAATAAATGTATCTGTAGTCTGACTTCATACACTGTAAACACATATTCACCACAGAAAGCTCCTAACGTGTTGTAACAAACAAGAGTTCAGCAACTTAGCAATTAAGTCAAGACAATTAACTCCTCTAAACAACTAAAACCCACCTAGAGGTGTCTGACAGCATTCTGCTCTGCCTTTTCCAGTAAGTCTCTTCGGTTTGCTTCTCCCACTCCCTTATTTTCCACATTTCTGTCTCTTCCTGAATCTGAAAGTCACAGAAGGAAAACAAGAGTAACATTAGGGAAACTTTACAGACACGTAGCATGTAACATCAGCCCAACACTCCTGCTAACAAAATTCACAACAAACTTTCCTACTATATTGAAACAGATTATTTTCTACTAGATGTAACCAAAAGCAAAACCTCTTGATAGTAACATCATAACAAAGCACATGAGGGTAACTGCATCAGAAACGGTAGGTTTGCCTGATTTTACTATCTCATCTGTTCTGGCTACCCTACCTTGTTATTCATTACTACCCTAAACATACATACTGTTAGAGAATGCAGTATATAAATATCATTTGGAAGGACCAAGATGAAATGAGAAACTACATGACAAGCTAATAAAACACAGCATGCAGATACTGCATGATTTAACACATGTTTATGGACACTGACAGTATAATAAACATATGAAACAAACGAGTTAGACCTGCTAAATTACCAGGAATTAATTAAAGAGTTTGCTAAAGTTAATGGAGTTTCTTAGTCTGGCACTAAAATATTGCCTGTGCACATCAACACAAAGTTGAAATTCTTTGATGCAATTAACAATACATATACAGTACAAGAAAAAATAAAGATTTACTACTTTAAAAAAAAACAAACCACAGTTTTCATTAACGTCCTGAGAGAATATGTTCCATGGCACAAATTTTATAGGTGAATACACACATATATACACACACACACATCTGCCTATCTAAATATGCACGTTCCCAGGATAAGAACTGAAAATCAGGTTAAACAGAAATCGAGACTAATGGTGTTTACGCGGCTGATTTCAACAAGTTTCTCTCCTCTCTGCTCTCCCCATCTCCCGATCACAACCCGGGCATTCCGCCTGCCCCACTGCCCGCTCCGCACTACTGGGGAAGTACCAACGGTCCCGAGCCTCGGAGCAACCCCCAAGTGATGCCCAGGGCGCCTGCACTCGCACCCGCGGACAAAAGTCGGCCGCAGAAGCGGCCACGGGGCAGAGCCAGGCGGAAGAGTCACCGCGGAGAGGGGGGACAAGGGGCCGCCGAGGCCGGCAGCCCCCACCGGCCCCGGCCGTACCTTGTTGTGCGCGCCCGTGTGCCGGATGACGTTCCTCAACAGCACCTTCCCCACCGGCACCCGGGACATCCTCTCGCCCTACACGGCCCCGCAGACGCCGGCCCCACCGGCACCCCCGGGCCCGCTCACCGGGGCACCCCCGCAGCCGGGGAGCGGCCGGGCCTGCTCTCAGCTCCCGACCGGACGTGGTCCCCGCACAGTGCCTCCTCCTGGTAGCACACACCGGGGCCCCGGCGACCACGGGGCGCAGCGATCCCGCGGCGGCTCCGGGGGGAAGCGGGCAGCTTCCAGCTCGGCCGCGGGGCCAGCGGGCTCAGGGCGAGAGCGGAGCGGCCGCGGGGCCAGGACGCCCGGAAGCAGCGGGCGGACGGGGAGAGCGACGGACCCGCCGAGCCCCGCCCTTCCGGCGGCCGTTGCTAGGCAACCGGAAGCAGCCATGGCGGGTTCGGCGCTAGCGCGGGCCGCGCAGCTCTGGTCGCTGCTGGACGAGATGGCAGAGAATGAGCCCCAGGCCTACCGCCGGCTCCTGCAGCAGCAGCGCGCCGAGGCCGAGCTGTTCTGCGCTCCCCCGGAGCCTCACCTGTGCCTGCGGGCGCGTCCCGCGGTGGGTACGCGGGGTCGGGGTCGCGGCCTCCCGTCCGGGGGCTGCGGGGCGGCTCTCTCAGCCGCGGGTCGGTCTCTTGCAGGGTGGTGTCGGGAGGCCGCTGTTCATCAATGTCTGCAGCTGGAAAAGGGTCCCGGCACCCAAAGGCCCCGCTGACCCCACACCTGTCAGTGCGGGGCCGCTAAAAGAAGTATCTGGCGAAGGAGGTACGTCCCGAAAGAGTTGCGCCTCGCCCGGGATGCATTTCTTCCCGCACTACTGCATTGCGTGGCGATCACACGCAGGTTGTCGCTGTAACGGGGTGGTGCTGTGCCGTCGCCAGCTCTTGGCTCGGGGTGATTCTGTAGATGAGGTTGGTAAGAGTGCCCAGAAGCCACGAATTAGTTTCTTTTGCTCTTAAAATCAAGTGACTATAAAGAACACTGGCACGATAATTCTGACACATAACTTACTTTTATAGACCTTTACAGCATTATAGATATTGCATATAACCCAGATGTTCTTCAGAGGGGACAAGAAAACCCAGAGAAAATGGAGCACTTGATCCATTTGACACTTAAATTTGTTGAGGAACGATACAACCTTACTCTTTCTCATTCGTACACCATTGAATCATTCAAATTGAAGGGAAGCCTGGAAACGATGCAGCAGCGTCTGAGAGGAAGGCAGAGGCCAACTCCACATCATAATCAGAACACAAAGAACGGTATGTAGAGATACGCAGTAGCTTTTCTCTGACCTATCAGATTCTCCATCAGATTCTCCAACAAATTTACGCAAGCCTCATCTGTAACCCGATTCTTGCCTTAAGCATAAATCAAACGCTTCCAAGTCGGAAGTATTCATACCAGACAGTAGTTTAACCCTGCTGGCCTATTTGCATTTATTTCTGGTGTTTTACAACTGAGAAAACGGAGTGACACTGGAACAGCATATTCCCTTTTTTTATATCCACTAAACATGGTAACTCTTTTGCTATTTAATCCTTTGAGGTGCTCAAGTTTCTTTTGCCCTAACCTGAGTAAAAGGGATTGCTACTGTAACTAGTAGTCTGAAAACAGTAACTTTTAACCCACTGGCAATGTAACATAATTGTGGGTGAAGGAAAACTGCCAGTAATAGCCTTCAACAGACAAAACTATTAATGCCAATGAGTTAGTTAAAACTTTCATGATGTATTTGTCAAGTGTCATAACATTACACTTCTGTAACTGAGTGGTATGTGTGAAAAATTTCCTTTTCTTGAAAGAACTAACACTTGATGAGCTGCTACACGCTATGGAAGCTGAGGACTGCAGCAATGCTTCGGTCCTGCTGAAGGAAGAACATGTGAGGCAGTCTAAAGGGCACCTGATAGAGGAAATTGCTAGCACCGAAACACCAGAGAAGCTCAGTACCCCTGTCTATGAAATGATCACTGTAAAGGATGCAAACAAGAAACCACTCAAAATTGAACTCAGAATTGAATTGCCTAAGGTTAACTCTGTTTCTGAGTGTGATCTGAGAATTTCAAAGGTAAGCCAGCAGAAATAACAATCCTATGTTTTCTGTCTAGTATCCAATTCCTATAAATGCTCACTGCTAATTCATTGCCAAATAGTTAATCAAGTATTTTAATTTTCTTGGTTCAGGATGACATAGTCATTGCAGTCCCTGGAAAATACAAATTACAACTAGAGCTGCCAGAATTGGTGGATGAAGAAACAACGACAGCGGTATTTAACAAAGGAAAACGGATATTGTTTATCACAGTGCTGGTTGCCAAGCCAGATCTTTAAAGACTGCATTCTGTCCAGTTCATGTTCACAGATGCCAGAACAAGAAAAAAAGTTCAGAATGAGAATCCTAACTTTTAGATGGTGATGAGCTGGGTTTCTTTAAATTGACCTTCTGATCTTCAGGGGTAAATACCTCAAATGCATGTAGAAAAGGAAGTCTGAAGGAACATTAACACCACAAAAGTTAGGACAAAAGTAAGTTTAAAGATTGCAAATATTCAAGGAGTGACTTGAATATGTTAACAGCTGTAGTAAAAGACCATAAATGCACACATGCTCTAGTACATCATTCATTTTGCCTTAAGGTACAGCAGTAACAGTTGTGAAGTGTTTTTGTGGAATAAATTGATTACTGGATAAACACATGCAGGTCTCACATGTGTTTAATACTGCAACAACCAGCAGAGGTGTGTCATACATAGTTCTACAAGTTGCCCTGCATGATGTTCTTAGTCTCTAGGACAATCCCTGCTGATTTTAACAGGAATAGACTTTGTAGTCACTGAACATGCTTGACCTCAGTTCTTACTGGTTTTGTAATCTCTGAATGAGACCACAAAAACCAGACCTATTCTGTACCATTCAAAACAACATCTATGATTCAAAGCTCAGGAATGCTTGGAGTGAGGGTAGCAACCAAAACCAATCTTGCAGCACTTCAACTAGGAAAAACCACCTGCATTATTTTACAGTAATACACAAAATACAAAGTAATACAAAGCAACAAAAAGCAACACAAAACAGCTTCAGGGATTACTAAGCATGACAAGAATTGGCACAGGGACAAACAAAAGTTTAAGTGATCTTATTTTCATGATTGATTTGGTAGTATGTCATTCTTATGGCTTACAACACATGCATTACAACCATGCTTCTGTACTGATACTCATCAGATCAGAAATGGAAGCAAGCAAAACTTTAAAATACAGACTGATGAAAGTGCAGTTAACCCCTAGCTTTCCCCATTGTCTGTTTCAAACAGACTTCTGGCTGCACTGAGACACTCTTCAGTGGTTAGAGTTGCAAGTTCAAGATGAAATTCTACCACTGCATGAGCTGAGCTGGCCTGTTGCAGGATGCAAACAGGACCAGAAGTCACTATCAGCACTCTGCACAAGCACTGGGCAGGATTTTTTGAGCTGCAAGTGTTCCAGAGTGAAGGGTCTCTGTAACCAGAATTTGAGGTGTGCTGCAGCAAGGAAGCCAGGAAGATTCAAGTTCACTGCTACATGGTACTAACAGAGCATGTATTGTTTTGGAATATTTGTAATTACAATTTAAGGTTAATAGGGTGAGTTTCATGATCAGATTGACAGGCTAAACAGCTCTGATTCTGCTATAGCAGTACAGTAAGCCACACACAACTGAATACAAAAGCACTGGAAGATGTTTTAGTAGTTGTCAATTCCAAACATTTAATAGAACATAGGTTCACTAGAGCAAGTCTGGAACCAAGATATTTTAGAACATTAAAGAAAAGCTAAACCTTTAATGCACCTTTTTGCTTAAGCCAGGCATGAAAACCAGGTATCACAGCAACCAGACATTAAACAGTTCCCACAAAAATATTTAATTTCCATAGTATTTTCTTCCAGTATCTTTAGTGAACGTTGTAGAACTTTACAGGAGACAGTACTTAATGCAATATACAGAATAACAGAACAGCTGAAACTTTTTCTTTCCTTTTTTTAGACTTCTACCCCCTTGTAATTCTCCTGGACACTTTGTAATTGCGACATAGCCATCCTTTTTCACATTAAGATTTCCATGTGGAAAATGGAGCTTAAGAATGTTCAGCACTGCACCCCTTTTAGGATACAATGACTGGGGTAACTGGACACAAGTCCAACAAACTATCAAAGCATTTTACATACAATATACACATGGTAGCACATTTTGCAGCCTACCGAGGCTGTAACAACACAGACAATTCAGGGCAGAACCACAGTACCAGTGGCTAACTCAAAGATTCCTATGTCAGAATCCCTGGAAAAAAATTCCAAACATTTGAGTCATCACAGGACTAATATCCACTAATGGGATTATCAGCGTGTGTGATTTGCCTATACTGGGTTCCAGCACACAGTTTCTCTTAAACATTCTGCAAAATGGTTACTTTCCATGGCATCCTAGTCTGATATTAACAAGAGGAACAGCAATTAGAGTTTTCATATAGAAAGCATATGTAAGTATAAGTCCACAAGGAGATAACCACTCCCTGTGGTATCTGAGAGCTGTGACCCCACAGATATCAGTGCTCTTTCACCTTAAAGTGCTCAAAAGGGATCACATAGCTGAGAAGGTCCAGACCAGTGCCAAATTCCAAAGAGAGATTTGGAATGCTAGCACTTGGCCTTTGAGAAACTATTCCCAGGCGCTTCAGTCCCTTAGTGCATGCCATACTACCCATCCCAGCAGAACAGGACAGTAAGGGAATCCACCTTTTACTAACTTGTACGTTTCAGTTACCATCTCACCTGAACTCCTGTGAAGAGATGTTTGTAATTCAAATTAATAAGAACAGAGGTGATGAAACTGCTTGGTGTGCACTCCCCACCTCCCCGTTCACCCTAGTTTAGAAGCAGATGGCAGTATGCATACTGCCTATAACTTTTACATCTGGGATGCTTAACTCTGTTTTGGAAGAGTTTGCAAGTTAACTGTATAAAAATACAGTATAGCTGTAATATTGCTCTGAAAAGCACTTTTGCAAACTTTTTCTGTACAGACTGGTAATAACATTACCAGATAATATAATACATATTTAAAATAAAAAAGGAACTCTTTTAATAAGTCTGAACACTCACGTCTAAATAGCTTGTTTAAAACAAAACAGTGTGATCCAGAAAAACTTTGCTTGCATGGTTAAATTATAGCAGCATGGTTACTGGCTTTTCAAGGAAATTCTTGAATTCAGCAAGCCACTGTGCTCCAACTGCTCCATCTACAACACGATGGTCACAGCTAAGTGTAACGGACATCATACTGGCCACATCAAATCTGAAAGAGGGAAGAAAGAAAAGGTTAATACAATCCTCTGGAAGCCAGTGCCAGTAACAAAGCAAAAATAGCTTTTATCAGGGAACCAGCAACAACAGTTGGTGCTTGGCAGCAGATGTTTCTCCCTTAGGACCTCTGAAAAAGATTACATGATACAGCAGAATCATATTAATTCCTTTTCTACAATTAAGAAACACATTTGTATGTTCCGTTTAGGACAGGAAGCTCATCTATCCTTGAATCACAAGAAGAGCCTCGCACAAAGACAAACAGCCATTTTACCAAATAACCTTGAGCCTCCCCATGTGTCAGTGACAGACTGTTAACATGATTAAATAATCCAAAACATTCTCCTGGATCTATACAAGTTCAATCTTCAACCAGGGCAACATTATATACAAGATACTTGAATTATAATCCCTCCCTTAGGTTTTCCTTAAATGCAAATTTTAACAAGTTGTTAAAGAAGAACAGGTGCCTAAACTGTTGTGGATGCCAGACTAGGCCTCAAAGAAAGAAACAGCTTCTCCTTAACTTGCAAAGAAGTTGCAAGAAAAATGTATGGCAGGTCACTGCATTTCTCTTTAACCTGTGTGACCCCTTTATAGAAGATCTCACTGTACTTCAGAAGGTCATGAAAGCAGTATATCAACTTTTTGAAATCAGAAGTTCAGTATATGCAGAATCAGACGCACACCTACCCTTTCTCATTATCCGCTGGCACTAGCCTTTTCTCTGAGGAGCCAACTGCAAGGATACAGGCTTGAGGTGGATTGATTATAGCAGAGAAATTCTTAATCCCATACATTCCTAAATTGGAAATTGTGAATGTACCACCCTACAAGAAAAACACATTCATGGTCAAGCTCACAAAAGCTATTTCACGTGGAATATTAACAAACATGGCTAAAACATCAGAGAACAGGTTTTGCTCATTCTAAACAGGACTTCTGAAGTCAAGGGCAGTAATGTTTAACAGCAATTTGAGTTTCTCACCTGGAATTCATGAGGTTGAAGTTTACCTTCTCGGGCTTTAGCTGCCAAAGAAACCACATCCTTACTAATGGAAGCCAGGCCCTTTATATGTGCATTAAACACAATAGGGGTTATAAGCCCTGCAGGAGTATTAACTGCAACGCTAACATCCACCACATGATTTCTGCAAGAGACAAAGGAGATGCTAGTTACTCTAGCATGGTAACAAGGACAGTAATTTTCAGAACTGTTTGGACAACTCTAAATTAATATTAATTTTGCAACAATTATTTCACCTTGCACACTGGCCTTGGATGCAAAGCTCTTAGCACTTCAACAAAAGCCTCTCAACCTTTGCATTGTATCTGTTCCCCTCCCTCTAAATCCCAGCTGGTTTGCCATTAGCCTACCAAAGTTCCTGGCTTTGACTGTACCATTAACTTACTGCCTGATAACTGTGTCCATCCATGAAGAATTTGCCTCAGGCACCTTCAAGCAAGCCAGAGCAGAAGCTTTAATTATGAAGTCATTGACAGAAAGTTTAGTGTTACCCGAGAGGATCTGTAAATAAAGAGATACGGAAGTGTCAGTTTGTCTCTTACACATTACCTCAGTTAACTTGGATAGTCACTGCCATGCAGGCTTGTTTAAAGAAACTGTTAGAAAATAAAAACACTACTTGTAAACATTAATATTTAAAGAGCCAAGATTTTTTAGGAGGTACCTCTTATAATTTAAGAAGGTACAACCTTTTTTAATGTCTGTTTTTTCCCCCAAACTTGACTTAGAATTATTATCTCACTTAAATTTTCTACCCTTTTTATTCTTAGAACCTTTGTACCCTTTTGCCTAACTTCCCAGCTGGAAGAATTGAACAACACCAAGCAGAGTAAAGTGGCCCTGTTGGGGAAGACAGAAATTAGTGCACAGTGCCCAGATAAAAAGTCTCATTCTATCACAGACAGTCCAGAACTGAGGCACAACAGGTAGAAAAGGCACTGAAAAGACTATTTTTTCCAAGGCAAAATGGCATATCACCAAAAAGCCAGGTGGGTAAACCTGTGAAAGAACGCAGCTTTCCCCACGCACACAATCTCACCATGCCTAAATACTTTACCTCATTGAGTTCTTTCCTTAGCACCAGTACTTCTCCCATATTTATATCAATAGAAAGGTAATAGTGAGGTATTGTTTGTTTAGACTGCATCAACCGCTGAGCAATGACCTGAGGGTATACAACAGAAGCAATCAAATTAATTTGGAAAATTCTATACTGCAACAAATTCTCAGAAAGGAATAAAATCTTCTTACCTTCCGAATGTTGCTGATAGGGATATCTGTGAAGGTCCCCACTGGTGCTGCTGCAACTGCAGCAGCTGCAGGAACTGCCCCTACTGCTGGAGCCTGCAATCAGAGAAAGACAGCATAATTAATAGTACTATCCAATATCAATTCTGCAGAGTAATTCACTATGTGGGACAAGTGCTGAGGCTAAGTTGCCTCTTGCTGTCTAGCCTCACCTCTCCAGTATCCACTAGGCTCTTTCTAAGTCCTGTATTTGATTATTAAATGTAGAACTTCAATCATTTAAAAATGCAACACTGATATACACTGATATGAAGCTCCCAGAATAGTAAGTCCTGTTAGATGGTTGTTCTGTGTACAGCAGATGTACCCTAGAAGGCACTCACAACCTGCACTCAGCTACACCCCCTCCAGCAGAACACAAAGCAACACTTCCATCATCTCATATAAAACACAATCAATTGAGTAACAACAGATTTGTGGCAACAATGACAACAGGTTCTTCGCTCATAAGTATGGCTTTCATTCTAATTGCCACTTACAGCAATCTGTTGGGACTGGGTTTACCTCAATCTGTAACAACGTAGCAATGAGATGAAGGGTTGGGAGTGCCAAGTTTTTTTCACCTCAGTGAAATACCAGAGGACAAAGAAAGAAAGAAAACTGTCCGTATATCTGACAGATTAAACTTTACAACCTAACAGTCAGCATACCCCACACAGCATCATAGTCCAACCAATCCAGCAATAACATCTCCATATAGTAACTGCATTTCTACACAACATTTCCATCACTATAATCAAGTGTCTACTCTGACAGATCTCATGCCTACTCACTGGAGCAACCTTTGGTGGCACAAATGACTCCACATCTTTCTTTGTGATTCTACCATCTGGTCCAGTACCTAAAAAAGTCAAAGAAAAACGTAAGAGGATTTCAAGTATTTGCAACAGGGCATTTTTTCTAAAGGTACCAGCTTTATTCAACAGAGAGAAGTCGCTTAACACAACCTCTGGTGAGGACAGCTGCATAGTCAGGATGTTCCTGATAGGGAGGAAAGAAAAGAATAGGCAAGTATGTATGGAGAAACACTAGACACTAGACAGTGAAAGTAAGGAAGCAGAAAGACAACCCACCTTTCACTTGGGCAAGGTCAATTCCTTTTTCTGCTGCAATTTTCTTTGCCAGGGGACTAGCCAGGATCCTTCCTTTCTGGGGAGGCAGCCCAGCTGTAGGGGCTGCTGGAGCAGAAGGAACAGAAGGCTGAGGAGGAGGAGGAGCAGCAGCAGGAGTTGCCACCACCTTAACAGAAGAATCAAAGCCATTAGCTTCAGGATCATTCTGCAAAGGCTTTGAAGGTACAGTAAGAGAACAGGACCATCTGATTACCAGTCTAGAGAATAACAAAAATAGTCACTAATCTGAAAGAATTTTCAGATTCAGAGACGTTTCCCAGGTCCAGAAATTAAATCAGATCTTCCTGGGAAGGAGGCCAACTAAGCTGCTGAAGTATACACCCAAAAAAAGGGTCAAGCAAGTAACTTATGCTCCTGGTTTTCATGGATAAGGCATTTGAAGTGGCACAAACAACAGGCTGGAGAAGACTGTAATGAGTAACTATCTACTCCAGTTTTTGGACGGCAAATTAGCAATTACTCCTTAGGTCACCCATCACCAACACAAGTTGGCTTTACATTCATACAACCATAAATAATATTGGAGCCGGTGCCTCACACTCTCAAACCAGCAGAACAGGTCAGATCAGACAACTTCGTGGGCCCTATAACTTCTCTCACATTCTAAGAATTGTCCTTACTGGAGGAGGAGGGGGAGGAGGAGCTTGTGCCTTGATGTCCGTTACTGCAGTGGGTTGGTAGTCAGCAAAGGCTGGAATATCAGACTCTTTCTCCACAATTATGCAGAGAGCTGCTCCTAATGGCACATCTCTTGTTCCTTCAGGCACTAAGATTTTTGCCAAGTAGCCTTCCTCTTGCACTTCAAAGCCTTACGGGAAAGAAACAAAACTGGTTAAGTGCCTGATGCTCCTGAGGAGTTCCTCTAAATGCTGCTTCTAAAGACTTTGGTAACTAAAACCATGTCCTATATTTAGTAGGCAAGAGAATCCTTTCCAGTGCAACTACTAGGAAAAATCTCCATGCACTGCACATTACTAAGAAGGATTAATGAAGAAATAAGAAGTGGTTTTAGTAGCTCTGATAGTTAGCTCTCCAGTGGAATGAGAAGTTAACAAAGCTTGTTTTAGTTGCCCCACAGCTTCATGTCCTGAGCAGCTAGGAGAACAGTTAGCACAGAGTGTACTCTAGATTCTCCTCTTTAAAGGGCACCTTATCCATTCTTGCCTTTGGAGTTGACTCACCTATTGTGGCTTTATCTGTCTCAATTTCTGCCAGTAAGTCCCCCTCACTCAGTTTCTCCCCGACCTTCTTCTCCCATCTCTGTACCGTGCCCATTGTCATGGTAGGTGACAGGGCAGGGAGAGTGATCTGTGAAGTCAGAGAATACAAGAGGATCAGATTCTGATCATACAAAAGGAACAGGAACACAGTTTTAACTCCTGACTAAATTATGCCAACCTAAAGAAGTAGCCAGCCTTTAATGCATCTGGCTCCATTACAGAAAGTGCTATCTCATATTGCTAGCTGGCTGTTTTCATCAAAGCCTCGGCAAGAAAGCAAGCAAAAGCAAAGAGCAAGTAACCTATATATCAAAATAATTACTACCACCATCACATTGGGAATGTCTTGCAGCTGCTATTTGCAAAGCAAAAAGAAAGATTGAAGCAAGTCACTTTGTGACAAACAGGTTTGGCCCCTTTAAAAGCTATACAGACTGATCTTCCAATAAGCACTCAAAGATGTTGTAAGTTTGCACATACATATTGTAGTGCAACAAATACAGAACAGGTGAGTACAGCCGCAGAGCAAAATTGGACAGATAAGGCAAGCAGTATGAAATAAGCACATTTAGTAGCTAAAACACAAGTCAGATTAATAAGCCTTTAATTAATTCTTTGTTAAATTACTGATTTTTATAACATCTCAAAGAAATCAGTTCCCACATGTACCATCTGTGGAATGAGGTTTACTATTTCAATGTTCTTTTTCAAACGAATGTCACAGAAATACCCCGCTTATTATATTATATAGAATATATATTATATATTATTATATATTATCCACAAATATAACTCATTATTAGTCACCCACAAACCCATCTGGTATGCTCTCATCAAAGTATCAGAGACTTGAGTTCTGCCCCAAGATGTAAACAGGGTCTTCTGAGCTTATTCACACTTAGCACAAGGTCTTTTTATACCAGCACTATCCAAATACTGCAAATAGAGTAGGTATTTTTTCTAGACTGCAAAACAATCGTGGAGATACAAGAACCTCCTCTACTACCAGCTGGGATGCTAACATTTCTGAAAAAGTTCACTGGGACCTCCCCTAACACCTGCTTTAAGCATGCAGCAATTCAAGTGGCACATACTCCTGCAACTGTAGCTAATAACTTCCCACTCCAAACAGTAGTTATGATTAAATGCTGTGGATTTAGCAATGCCAAAACCAGAAAATGAGTGCAACAAGCCTTAAATCACAAGCAATGCTCTCTTACCTGCATATGAGGAGGGTAAGAGCTGCCAGGAGCCTGAGGAGAAGGCTGAGGTGGTGGTGAGGGAGCTGCAGCTTGAGGGGGAGGCACTGAGGCTGGCGGGGGGGCAGATGCTGCAGAATCTAGAGTATAATTTTTAAAGGCATCAACATGTTCAGGCCTAGAAGAAAACACAACCGCAAAAGCAGTCAGACGACTGCCTCTTAAGCCTTTCACACAGACACCCAAGAAGCCCTGAGAGAGAAAATTCAACTCAAAGGTTAGCGAAATACATACTTTTCTACGGTGATACATATTATGGCCCCAATAGGAACATCTCTTGTTCCTTCTGGCACCAGGATCTTGGCCAAGTAGCATTCATCTAAGCTCTCAAAGCCAACTGTTGCTTTGTCTGTCTCCACCTTTGAGAGAGAACAGGATATCATTATGGCAGCAGAAAAGACCAGTGTGCTCAAAGCTTTCCAGTCTGACATATGGCCACAACACACACAGTTCTGTAAAAGATCACCCTGCAGCACCAATCTTAGATAAGTTTGCTCTCAACCAGGTTAAGTGCTCCTCCTGCTCAGAAAGAAGAAAAGCAGCAACCAGTTTTGAAAGGCTGTCAGTCACTTGTTCCCAACAGCACCTGTGATCTTGAACCCAAGAGATCTGTTCAAATGAGTGCAGCCAGGGACAGAACCCAGGATGCACACACAGCTCATTAGAAATGCAGCACAGCCTGTGCCCCCAGAATACCTCTGCTATGAGGTCTCCTTCATTGATCTTGTCACCCTCCTTCTTTTCCCAGCGTGCAATGGTGCCCATCTGCATCGTGGGGGACAGAGCTGGCAAGGCCACCTGTGAGCAATAAGGCAGTGTTACAACCCACACAGTGCTGATATTAGGAACCCCAAGCATAGAGCAGAGATAGATCCCCAGTACAGGTTGGAACAGGGGGCACAAAGGAGACTGCAAATTCCCAGCAGGTTATGACTGTCTCCAATTTCCTGGTAAGACCCCAGGGCAAACCAATACTGGGGTGCTGAGATGGGGCTGACCGAGAAAAGGAGAAGCTATGCCAGGGACAGAGAAAAAGAACTAGTGGCAGTGAAGGTGGTACCCATTGATGGCAGAAGGACTCAAGGTAGTGGCAAGGGTATGAGAACCGCGGGAGTGGGGTAGAAAACTGTAGTTTCCCCTGGGCAAACTGGGCTGCCCAGTGACAAGAAACGAGACACAGAAAATGAAAGGGCTGCCCACGAAGCAGGGGGGCATAGGACTCTCTGGGGAGACCCAAGGGCTATTTGGACAGAGACGTTATGGGGTGGGAGGGAGGAGAGGGGGCTGCGAGACTGCCTGGGATGGGGGGAAGAGGAGCTTCTTACCTTCTGGTGTGCCGGGAGGCTGCAGCAGCGGCACGGGATGAGCCGAAGCCAGGTAAGAGGCAGCAGGAGCCCGCCGGGCCGCTTCACGGGGCCGCCCCACACCGGGCCGCGGCTCAGCGGTCCAGCCCCAAGCGTTGGCCCACGGCCGCCTCCAGCACCACTGAGCGCTCGGCAATGTCCCCGAGGAGCCCCCGCCGCGCCCCGGGCCACTCGTCGTGCCAACACCCGCCACATGCTGCAGCTGGAGCCGGAACCGCGGGGCCGCCGCCGCCGCTCGGTGACCTCCGTCCGGGCACGGCGCCGTACAGCCCAGCGCGACACTGCCGTAAAGCGCGGCGGGGCGAGTTAACTCTGTAATGCCCGTGATGGGGCTGGGGGGGCACTCGCAGTGCGCAGTGGCGTGGGGGCGGTTACACGAGGGCTGCAGCCGGCGGTGGGTGAACAAAGAGCCCCATGGCTCAGGTCAGTGACAAGAGCCTGCCCAGCAGTGAGAAAGCGGGGCTGTAAGCGACCCTGTACCCCGTGTCTTTGCGCAACGCACACCCGCAATTGCAACAGCCCCTCCTGGATTGTGCTGGTCGCTATCACATAGGCTAGGGTTTAGCCAGAGCCCAGGTCTGGCTGGAGCCACGTGAAGCCAGAACGTGTTCTGTGCCCGGCATCCAGCAGCACAGGTTCCCCCAACCATAGACTGCTGGGGTTGGACAAGGGGTTGGAACGCGCGAGGGCAAAGTGCTTAGCTGGCTAGCACCATACCCAGTAAAATCCCATCACGTACATTACTGCTGTCTTAACATGTTAGGAGTGGCTGCTCCTAAGTGTATAGGACTTGTCTTAGCTGAGCTCAGCCACTTCCAGCAGTTTACACAACCTTAGGTGTAGAAGCAGTGAAACTTGCTATCGCCAAGGCAGCCAAGCAAAACTTGTGCATTCTGTTTGACATGTTTTAAAAGTAATGTAAATGCCATTGTAAGTCTGTTCATCTCCTGTGTCTCATAAAAAAATACATGGTTTCCTAAAATATTGTGGAAAAGTGATTAAAAACGTTTCCTCCAGTACCAAGGGGGTGCTAACCTTAAGCACATTCTGATTTATGTACTGTATCCCTACCTGTGTGTTCTCATTTCAAAGCTGTCTTCCCCTTCACAAGCACTGAACAGCCTCAGTTTGCAAACCCTGTTTTATTGAGATAACTGGTTCATTAATCCAAGGATTACCCAGGCAGGTATGTCTGGTTCAGATGTACAGATAAAACTTCATTTTCCTAGAGAACAGGCTTTAGAATAGCTGCCATAAGTGATGAATGCAAACATATGAGTTTCAATGAGAACATAATCTTACATAGAGCATGTATGTTACATAAGCAGAAGAAAGTCTGGACAAAAAAAAAAATACTAAAACCAGTGAAAAATGTGAGTCTTGGGTATGATATTAAGAACACAGCCCCAGAATAAACCAAGTGAAGTCAGTGTTATAGCAAATTGATTTACTGCCAAACTGACTTAAAACACAACATCTTTTGCCTTTATCATAGAGAAATATATAGCCAACAGCTTTTCCACCTGATACTTCTTATTCCTATGCCTAACATTTCTTATCTCCTCCAGACCCCTTTCTCTCAATCAATGCAAAGGTAAAATGTCTGAAGAAGGCTGCAGCATCAATACAGAAATAAAGGTGAACCCAGACTGTGCATGGGATATAATGTTTCAGAGCAGCAGTCTTTCAGCTTCAGTGACAGCAATTCCATCTTTGCTATCATGGAGGGGAGCTGCATATAGGAACCCAAGAACAGAGCCTTGCTCTCAGTTCTGTCTCAGCAGATACTGATAGCATCTTCTTGTCTTCTTTTGTCCTAGCTTGCATGTGGTGTTAGCATGGATGGAAGGCACATGACTGCCACGCTTAAAAAAGCAAGCCTTTTGGCCAGACTTGCTCTTTCTCAAATAGAGCTCATTGTTGCTCTGGAGAACATGTATTTCCAGATAAGATTCAGTCCTTGGCTCTCTAGCAGCAGTAAGCATATTACATGTGACTATGGTTAGTTACTGAGTTGATCTAAAAACAAGAACAGGTTGTCTACTGTATCAGATTACAAGGTTTTTCTTCATGGGAAAACTGAGTAGCTAAGGGCAAGGATTGAATACTTATCCATTAGAAGCTCTGATCATATTAACAGCCTCCTGTGTCTTCAGTGCTCTAAAACCAAACTGCTTATCTTTGAGATACGGAGAGCAGAGAGATACGGAACTGGCAACTATAGGCCTTGAAAATGGTCTTATTTTCTCCATAAAACTGTAGCCTGGGTGCATGGCTCTTGCCCAAATAAGATTGGTGTGTAAAACCTGAAGCAACAAACACTTGAGAAAAATTTGCTCTTCAAATACAATTGATTTCAGTATAGCAACCCCATGCTCTCTTTATGAACACACTAGAGATCATGCAACAAAGAAACTATATCCAGGAGGAAGAAAAGCTCTGTTTCTTTTCCAAACAGATGTATTTGATGTATGTTGTATGGAACAGACGTATTTCCCCCCTGCAGACCATTGATGAACTTGTTAATTGATGAACTTTCCTACTGCTGTCTGTAAGGAGAATGTCACCATAACAAATTGTCCAGAAGAGGAGGCATGTTGTGTTGTGCCAATGTGGCACAGAGCCACGTAACAGCCTCGAACTACTTCCTGAACAGTGAAGCAGTGAGAAGATAAATAGTATTGTTGATGCCTGTTAAAGCTGTCATAATACAAAACCCAGCAGGAACTGGTTGGACTTCCATAGTAAAATAAAAGTTATGAGCCCAGTGTTGTGTTAACAGAAGACAATACAAAACATCTCAGCAACCATGAGAAAATGAGCAAAACACAGTATAATGCGTGCAGAAATATACAGAACGCACTTGCACTAGTATAAAAATATCCACAGTCCTCAGACAAATGTAAACTGGTACAAAATAATTCCAAGAACAGGAACATGTTTACAAAAGGACACGTTAATATAAAACCAGGATCAGCTTCTCCCAGACTCATGCGCAGCACAGACACACAGGTAGGCCACGGAAGGGCCACATGTACCGAGAATGAGCAGAGCCTTGACTTGCTGTAAGTCAACAGTGTCTGTGGTACATTGCAGCCAGCACTCTGGAAATTCAACTGACTGCCAGCAGAGGGTCAGAGCAAACAAAACCAACCCCCACAAAACCAAAAAAACCCATCCTCAGGGATTTTAGGGCTTGTCCTTCCCCCAGTAGTCATTTATTTTCTGATCATTCAGGCACCGCAGGAGCAGGCATACCAGGGAACTGGTGGGGTAAGCGATGGGGTTTATCCTGCTGGTGTGGGTAAGTATTTGGTGGCTCTGGCAATGAGTATACAGCAGCACACAGTGATACCTGTGCACAAACTGTCTGCCTTGCTGAAAGAGGAGAGGGCAGGAAAGCAGAGAGAAAGAGGCTCAACAAGGAGAGGGGCTGGAGTACCTTGGGGAAGCAGCCGATTCCAGCTCCCCCACAAACTAAATCCTTCAGCAAATAAGCAAGCATCAAGATCCCACAGTCCCCATGGAGACAAAACAAACCCAGGATGCCTCAGAGGTGGGTACAGCTTTGGAGAGCACGTGGGAGAAGCAGGGCTAAGAAACGGAAGCCTGAGTTTGGGAGAGAGATTTGCCAAGCTGGTGATCTTTGCTTTAGACCTTGCGTAAAACCTCCTGAAGACTCTCTTCCCTCCTGAGATCACTTTTCTATACTGTTATGTCCAGAATGTCCAGGAAGTTCAGTCTGCTCCTGCAGCACATGCATATCTAGAACCAAAGTTGGTAAAACCTTCAGCTCGTGTAATCTAGAGGCTGCGTCTGACTCTCAAAGGCAAAGGTTCACATTTTTTGCCATTGGTGCAGATCTGTGTAATCACATGTACAAGAAACAGACTTGTAATGCTCTGATCACAGTCTGCAGCACGTACTGCAGGAATGGAGAAGCAGAGGAAGGGAGCAATGCATCATTAAGGCCTTCAGGGTTTAGTTGACAAGACAAAGCAAGGTGTTTCTTTCCCATGGACCTGTCATTTAAGTCTCAGAACGCTGCGTTTGGGCACTGAAAGTCAGATGCTGGGTGTCCATGCACACAGCATGCATTGCTTTTTGTTTGCTGAGAAGCTCTCTTTTTTTGGCAGCTTGATTTGGACTCTTTCCAGCACACAGGCTGTTGGCCATTCTTTGAGTTCAGCAGCTAGTTACAGGTTTCCATAGTGACAAGACTTAAAAGCTTGATTAATTCTCTCCATGGTCTTCTTCCACCCAGGCCACAATTTTCCCCTCCCAACCAGGAATGATGTCATCATCATGGAATACCTACAGAACATAAAGAAGGGAGTTCAGCCATGTCTGGAGTCTGGACACCACTCTTGTACAGTGTGCGTGGATGCATTAAGTCAGAAATCCTAGTTCAGATTTGACTGCACATCCCAAAGAACATGTACCTTATCCATTATTCACATGTCTGAGTAATCTTTTGGGGGTTTAGGTAAAAAAAAGTCAAGCCAAACCAAACCAACAGATGAGGCCCCTTCTTTAACCAGCAGCCTTCAAGATTATTGGCATGTATTTGACAGGAAAGGTAAAATGAAGAGAGGAAACATGCCTTTCCTGATCCAGACTGCAATCTTGCAGAATGGCTGCATAGCCAGCAGACTGCTTCCAGAGAGGATAACCCTGTGCACTTGTCTTAACCAATTTGTGAAACAGGAACTATTGCAATAACCTTTAATGAATCCAATCCTCACTCACACCAGCTGAGCATAAAGGGGGCTGTAATGCAGTACATGAAGGAAAAGATGTCACAAATGGAGTTATCTCTGGAAAACCTTTAAAAGGATGTATGAGAATGTTGTTGGTTTGGGTTGTTTTTTTTTTTTAATAAACCACATTTGCCTAAAGTGTCTCTCACTGCAACAGGTTTTATAAAGGCACTTAAAGGGCTAGAAGTGTAGCCTGGGTTCTTGAACAGTGTGCCCTGAGACATGGTGTGCCACAGACTGTCTTTGCCAATAGCCAGCTCTGCCCAAGAGGCTCTGCAATCCCCAGGCAACTGCAATCACGTTCATGTAATTGCTCTGTCTGGGTATGAAAACATCCCACTTTAGCACCTTAATCTGCAGAAATACACAGCTTGTTTGGGGGCAAAATCAAAGATTTCATTAACTCAGAAGTGAGGTGACCACAGACCCCAGGATTGTGCTGTTAACACCCAAAGTGGCTGATTGATAGCTGAATTTCACTTACCTCCTCCTTGACTGTGCCAAACTCTGGATCCAGGGCTTTGAAATGGTACCGGTGAGTTCCTTCACGATCAATAGCTACTTTAAAATCCTTCAGAGTCACTTCCCCTAACCTGCAAGGGAAGACTTTGGCACTATCCTATGGTACACTATTACCAGGTTTAGCTCAAGTGTAGTAACACGGCATGCAGAGCCACAGCACAAGTCTAGTTAGGCATGTGGGACCCTGGCCAGAGGAATGTGAAAAGTGTGTCCCCTCCAGAAACACAACTGTCAACCCCAAGGTTGTCTTCAGAGGAACAATTGCCTCCTGATTCACAAAGAACAGCCTTTTTCACTTTCTCTTTTCCATTGACAGCCATATTTATCCTGTATTATATGCCACAGTAGAGCTGCTTGGCTGCTTTCTCCTGCTCTTGCAAGTTATTGAAAAGAGGTGGATCTCTTATGGCTCTAAAATAATTGCATCATCTAGGGGACTGCTTTACGCAGTTTTCCCCAGACAATAGTATGAAATCCAATGCCCAAGTTAACACACAGCAAATTTGTGCTAGTTGTGACCATATCCAGAAGAGATCAGAGATCATTGCATTAAGGGAAACAAGCACCCCCCACATCCGTGTCAGCAAGGTGAAGCCAGACCTCACCTCTTTGGTATGTTGACCATGAAAGGTGTGAGGGAGCGGTCAGTGAAGTATAACACTTTGGTGCAGGCACTGGTGCTCATCACGGGTGTGCTGTGAGAATGAGGCAGTTCTGCAAAGAAAAGCGCACAGTCATGGGGGAACAGCCTGTCTCCTACAACAGGAAACAAAAGGGGTGGCTCTATCTTTTCCCAGTACCTACAGTCTCCTACAGGCTCACTGAATTTCTAGGTAACGTTTACAACCCGTATTGGGAAATACGACATTCATAATGATGAAAAGCAAATGTGAAACGTGGTGTCAGAACGGACTGTGCCGTTATGCTTGTATGAAATGAGAATGTACGAGTGTTAGACACTGACAGCAGAAGAGGGGAAGAGGCAACTGCAGTTACCTGTGTCCACTAGATGGTGCAAACCAGCAGGAAAGCTGAAACAGCATCGCATTTCCCACTCATCCCAAGGAAAATTGTTTGTCATATTTATACTGCGGTACTACTGAAGTGGCCCAAACAGACTCCCACTGTGACGGTGCTTTACAAACAAGCAGCCACAGATTGCCTCTGCCCCGCTTCCTTTGCAGCAAAGTCTAATCTGTACAGAAAAGGACTAGGAGGAGGAAAGTCAGCTCTGGTGAAGGGACCAAGACGCTGGAGATGGCAGATTCCCAGGGAGATACTACACCTTGGACTTTGGCCAGCAAACCTAAGGAGTGAATTTGGCAATTGGAAGGCTGGAGGTCAAAGACACTTACTGGATTTGGGAGGCCAGGAGTCTCTACACTCATTTGTTGCTCGGCTTCCTGGTGATTTCCCCCGGGTCTAGGGTGCAAAGCCAAAAGAGTGAGAAAAAGGTGTCACCAGTTGGAGCCCCCATTGCTGCTTAGCTCTGGGTTGTGTGTGAGGGGAGGAAGTTAAGAGCAAAGTGCCCTAGGAAGCCTTTACCCTTCTCTCTTGCCTCTTCTGTGTTTCCACATGGTACAGGCGTTCCATTAGGCTGGAGATGCCTTGCTCCAGGCTGTCAATCGTGTGATGCTGTGGATCGTGGCCACTGAAACTGTTCCTGAGGCTGCGAAGAGCATCACGAACCAGTTGCAAGTCATTTGTCTGCCCAAGAGACCATAAGTCAGTCAGACTAACTCCAGGCTGCTCTCTTCCCATCTAAAGCCACAGATCTTAGAAAGGGGAAATATCTTTGGAGCCTTCATCTGCATCTGGCTGGGAAAACTGCCCATAGGTACACTTACCCCTCGGTGTGTTGTAGGAGCAGCTCCTTTCCCTGCTGTCTGGAGGAAGCCATTGCTCTGAGCACCGTGACCACTGCAAGCCATCACCTGTTCAGGGGAACATGCATGTGCCACTAGGAATGCAAGTGTTAGGACCTCCCCAAAGATTCCAGTTTGTGAACATCAAGATGATGAGAGAGCATGAAAACTTCCCACATTAGTGATATCCCATCTTCTACCAGGTAAATACACTCATTAAGGAAAGTGCAGGCTGTCTATAGGACATGATTCCTCTCATACAGGTGGAGAAGAGGCAGAGTCAGGAAAGAGCTTGCTGCTACATCAGAGTGCTCTACAAGTTCTAGTGAGTGTTCAAGTGGCACTGTGCTGGGACTGATACTGGGGCTGGCACACTTTCCAACAAGACAGTTCCAAGTGCTCAATAGCAGGGTCAGTAGGAAAAGGAGGAGATAAGAAGCTTAACCATTAGCTACGGTTTGAGCTGAAGCTAGACGCCAAGAACCTCTGGCTTCCACTCCTGTGCTTCCCTCCCTATTTCATCTCTTAGGATTTTGACACAAGACACTAAGCCAGAGTGCTCATGCTGAGAGCCTTGCTAAGATGGATGCTTTATGTAGTCTGGCTGCCTTGGTTATGGCACTGACAATGAGATCACAGAGCCAGGCCATTCTCGGATGAAGTGGATGATTTCTGGAGATAAGTAGCTAAAGGGTGCTGGACAGCACTGTTAGAAAGAAACATCATTCCAACCGTCTGATGTGTAGACCAAGTCTTCCCATACCTCTTCAGCCTCTCTCTTCATGCAGTGAACTAGCAGGGCCTCTTTGTGCTCCAGCTCCCTCTCCAAATCCACCTGAGGGGAGTAGAAGAGTCAGCACAAACCAAGCCACCAAAGTAAGTGCCAGCTCTCAAGGCATCACCTCAGGGCACCACCTGCTCCATACCTGCTGGTAGTTGGCCTCAGAAAGCTGCCTAAGCATTTCATCCAGTTTGGTCTGATGCTGCTGTAAATGCCGGTCCTTCTGGCACAGTTCTTTCTGCAACACAGTCATCAAGAGAAACATCAGAGAAGCTGTGGATGGCCCATCCTTGGCAGTTTTTAAGGCCAGGTTGTATGGGGCTTTGAGAAACTTGGTCTAGTGGAAGGTGTCACTACCCATGGTAGGGGTTTTGGAACTGGATGAGCTTTAAGGTTGCTTCCAACCGAAACCACTCTATGAAACCATTCCATGATTCTATAATCAGGACAGCAAGTAGGGCTCACAGTCATCTTACCGTGGCAGGGAAGGTTATGACACCTGCCACGATAAGGTTCCTCTACATGCTGACTTACACAATGTGTGTACTTCCACCTACATGTTAGAACTAAGTGTCGAGGCTTGCTTTAAAAAGATCAGTCAGGTAGTAGTAGCCTGGAGTCCCCTTGCCCAGCAGAGATCCACAACTGAGGCCAGATAACTGTCCCAGAGAAAACAGATTCCTGAGGGATCAGTGGACAGTCGGGTGGCCCAACTTAACCTGTAGGCTTCTGCACAAGTGTTAGATACTCAGCAAGCAACCACAGCAAAACCATGACAATAAGAGATCTATAAAAAGCTGTGGACAGAACACAAAGAACATCCAATCCCTCCCTTTCATTACAAACAACCAGGCTATTGCAACTTATTAATTATCCAGGGTGCCATTCCCAGGGGTGACTGAGTGCCAGGGAGACAGCAGTCACGTTCACAAAACTGAAGAACCACCAGATGCTGCCCCCAGCAAAGCCTCCAGTGATGAGAGGTTCCATTACCTTGTATTCTGCCAGCAGCCGGTTTCTCTCGTCAACCTTCCTCTGAAGGTCAACCTGCAGAAATAACAGAGAGGTGTGAGGTCGGTACTCCCAGAGAGTTAGTGACAACCTCTTTGTCCCTTGCTCTAAAGGGTGACCTGGGACCAAGTATCTGCAGAGTTCAAGGGAACTCGTGTCTCAGGATGCAGCCTTTCTGACAGGACACTTCCTTCCTTGCCCTTCTCTCTGCAGAGGGAGACTGTACATGGTGGCTCCACCTGCCAAAGTGCCACTTGCTAATCCAGGGAGCACAGTTAGGAAGGAAGACTGCAGCTGTACTGAAAACATTATGGATGGAAAGCACCACCCTGTTGCACTTGAAGGTCTTGGAGGACAGGAAATGAAAGCGAAGAATAAGCAACTCCAGTGAGTCCCACATCTGGCAAATAGACTGTGTGCAGTTTTCACTCTGCAGAGACCTTTGACTGGTCGTTCACTATCCCACGACCCCACGAACTATGCTGCAACCACCAACTCCACACCCTGTGACTGCTGGAGCCCTCAGGGCCACCAGCCTCCTAAAATAATCTAACCCTCAGCAGCAGTGACTCACGTTCTGGTTGTGCAATTCCTCCTTGTCCATGTTTGCTCTCAGCAGTTCCTGCTTTAGCTGAAGAACTGACGCATCCTGTTGAATCAGCCTTTGCTGTAAAGCATCCTAGGAAAACATGTTATCTGTGGGTAGGTGCAAGACAGAGACAGAAACCCTTCCCTGGGAAGCAAGTGACCTACATGAGTGGCTGTAACAGAGTGGGGCCACTCACAGGGCTCCAGAGAGCTCACCCAATGGGCCCTCAGTCCTTCTGCCTTTGTCTTAGGTAAAAGTAATTTCCCTGCCAACATTCTAGCCATAGGAGACAGAGGGATTTCTGTGCTTCTACCTGGATTTTCAGCTCCAGAAGTGCCCTGATAATTTACTCTTATGAAAGAAAACAGCAGTGTCCTTAGAGGGTCCTTTCAGTGGCCTACAGCTGGTGCCTGCAGCCATACGACTGCAACATCTAGGGGGCAAAAAAAGGCCAATGTCAGCTAAGGACACAAGCAAACTCAGTGTGACCTAGTCTCTGTTAAGAGGCCAATGTCAGGACTAATTCTGCACCTTTCACTCATTGTTACCCAGAAGCCAAGAGCTCTACCTTGGATAGCTACTGCTGTTTGCTTCCTTCACGGGAGCCTGACAGGCAGCTCTAAAAATACCTCTGCTCAGGAATACACTGTTAGTGTGCAGAACTCCAGGGGGAAGAACTGAGCAAACAGGAGCCAGAATTGTGAACAATGCTGCAGCTGAAGAGGACAAAGATTCCCCTGTGCTCTTTTTCCTCTACTGTCAAGAACAAGTTCACTGGGCCAATTCTACTGTGCCTACCACAAGATGGGGGGGGGAAGCTGTGAGAACCACGCAAACATCTATACCTCATGTTTTCTTTAGGGGAAACAGACAAAAGAGAGGACATTTGACCACAATCCTACAGAGAGAAACACAGCTCAGGAGACCTAACTCCTTGGGCCTGCCTTAACTGTAGTCTCTTCCTGGAGCTTGAAACAGATCATAAGATCCCCCACCATAAAGTCCCCTAAATACACCTCCCTCAGAAGTGTATGGGTGCTTCTGGCCCTACTTGTGCACTGCAAACTCTAGCATTTAGGAAGGGTCCCTTTCCTCACCTTTATTCCCTGCAGGTTTCGAGCTTCTTGTTTGTATTTCAGTAGCTCCTTCTGTAAATGCAATACAATCTGATTAAATGGCATCTTGTCACCCCTTCAGAATCAACCAAAGTCAGTGTTCTCTGTCCCCAGGCACCTGCTCCAGAAGAAAGCACATCCCACCTTTTCCCACAGATCAAAAAGTGTGTCAGGCCCTGAGTCATTTTAATGAGTAATACTCAATACATTTTAATAAGTAATGCATTTAATGGGTGCTGTCCCACAAACTTATTAACTGCTAATATGAATACAATAAACACTTCACAGCCATCTACTGTGAGAGCTCTCTGGGTCAATGAATTATGGCCTCGGGGAAGCAGGTGCATACACTCCTGGAGGGATGGAGTTCCCATGCAGGAGAATATGGAAACAGAATTACAGCCCTAACACAATACATCCTCCATGCCATCTGTTCTGCTGTCCACCAACCCCTGCTTCAAATCAAGCAGAGTCTGCAAAGAGCTCTTGACCCAAAACCTCTCTTTCCCCTCTAACCTTTAAGTCTTGGTTTTCTTCCATGCTCTGGTCCAGGCGACTTCGGATTATGATCTGAATGTAAAATACCATGTTTGTTATTGTGCATGACACTTCCCTGTGGCAGAAAAGTGCAAAGGGCAGCTTAGTCAGAGAAATGTAGGTACAGCAATGTGCTTACCAGCTGCTCTTCAGGGCAGGCTCCACGTTCGCAAAGTTCAAAGGACCCTTCCTGCTCATCCTCAGGTAAAGACCCATTGAGCAGCAAAGCCTGGGAAGATGAAGGAAAAAATCTCCTTCTCAGGGGTTTTAAAGGAAAATAGGCAACCTGCAGCTCTGGCAACAGTCATGGACAGCAACAGTCTCTCAACAGTGTCATTTTCTATTTCTGCTTATTCCCTTCAAAAAACAGCACCTTGTTCAGGAATGAACAAGAAGATTTATCCACTGAGAAATCTCTCTCAGAGATCTGTCAGCCAATAATCTTGCCCATGGAAAGACCAAACACGAACAACTACTAAGATTTTTGGAGAGTGACATCTGTCTCAGGGTAGCATTCACTACAGTAACAGTAAAAACAGTAAAAGTCTAAAGCCCACTGAACCATCTTTACATTGTAAGGGTTCTTTCCTGGAATGAGACTGAAGTATCCCCTGCTTAAAGAAGCCATTCTCCTCACCACATGTCTATAAAAGACTTTAGAAACAGGCTGCTCAGGGAAGCCTCATTCTGTTCTACTAGACAAGGCTGAGATGCATTCAGAACTGTTGTCCAAGTGAGGGAAAAGCCCTTGCCCACCCAGACAGTGAAAACCAAGCTATTGCCCTGTGCTTCAGGAAGGCTACTAGAAGCACAGCGATACCTCCTTCAGCAGCTCCAAAGTAGCCTAGATATCTGTGAAAAGATGCCAGAATTCCTACAGTAGACTGAACCAGCCTGAAGGAGGAAAAAGTGCACTACGGGAAGTGTGACTAGCAGGCCAAGGCCAGATCTCCAGCAAGATATACCCTAGTGGTTTTCCCTAGCTGATGGCCTTCACATTGACCTTTCTGCTTTTAACTTCCAGGACTCAGGGCACCTGGTATGTGCCAGGATGTTGCATACAACTGCACACATTGGGAAGAGTCATGCCTCTTTCTTTGAGTTAGATTTCTAGTTTATTTCTACTTTAATTCCATGGCTAAAACCAAAATGTCCCATTTGCAGCAATACTCCAGTTCAGCCCCAGATGACTTCAAGGCAGTTCAGGTTCTGCCTGCTGATAGAATCTTCCACTAAAGAGCTACAACTGCTGCCAAACAGCAAATAGCAATCTGCACTCAGTTAATGCAGAAGTTTTTTGGAAAAGTGTTTCCTGAGTGCCTCCCAAACTCTTCCCTGTGGGAGACTCAAGCAGGAATCACACAGGAACATAAAAAGTTACCACAGTTTTAGTGCCCTATGGGGTATACATACATCAGATCCTTGATATTTCGATCAAACTCTCATGAACTGGAGGCTCTTAAGTATTGAGTAAGAGCAGGAAAATCAATTAATCAAATCCAATTTCTTGGCTAGCAGCATCAGCTGCCTCTTCTTACTCCCAGGGGATGAGGGGGCAGCAAATGCCAGCTGCTCACCCTCACTCCTGAAACAGGGGGCTAGGACTGGAGGAACAGAACATACCAGTCCCTCCAGTGCTGCCTCTCCCTGCTCGCATTGGGCACATAACACAACTGGATTTTACTGGTGAACCAAGCCAGGGTTGTTGGGTTTTTTTTTGTGTTGAGTCTTTTGTTTCCTGCCCATTGTCCAAAGGGAAAATGGCCTCTGATCTGCACCCCACCCTCCGTCCCCGCTGCCTGTGCTTCTCACACAATCTCTGCTTTGTTTACTGGCACATAAATATTTACAATTCAAAGCCAGTATGGTTCCCAGCACAAACAGAAAGGAATATCCCTGAGAGAGTTCAGGGTCTTTACCATATGGATCAGGGGCTCTACTCCCCATGCAGAGTCAAACACATCGGGCTGAGGGTCATTGGTTGGGGGGGACTGGAACAGGGCAGCGAGGAAAAGGTCCCACAGATAGTTTTGTAGAGAATGTGCCCAGCTCACGGAAAGACTGATGCAAGCCTCTGTGAATCTTGATTGATTTCCTGACATTCCTTGTCTCTCTGCATTACTTCCGATCACAAATCACAGAAAGGCTGCTCTATTCTCTCAGGCTGCTAACAAAACCTGCAGGCTGGTAAGTGCCCTGGTGAAGAAGGGGAGTCCCTGCCCCAGCACATGGGAAAACACTGCTGCATCTTTACATTTGGCATAGTAACAAATGTGCTTTGCATAGTGCCAGCACACAGAGGAGTTAGCCTAGCATGACAGGACAGGGCACCAAGCCAGTGAACCCACCTTAAGATCTGGACTCCAACCAAAAGACAACACAGATGTAAGCTCCTTCTCAACACAAGCTTTGTTTTAGATTCTCTACAGTGGTTCCATTCTTACCTGCATTCAGTGTGCCCTTTGACCTCTCACAGTCCACTTAAATTACTATCGGTGAGTATCACTGATTGTCAGTCCTTATAGCAACATGTTCTGGCTCTCTCCACACCCTTCTCTCTCCCTACCAAGTAAGAGCCTGAAATCATGTCAAGTTCAAGTTTTGGAGAAGTCTGAGCCAAGAAAAAGAAAAGATAGTGTCTGACTGGTGTTAAACATCCTTTCTTTGAAACCCTGGTAAATATACTGGGGCTGGGGAAGTTGCAGCTATCTTTCTTCCTTCCCTGGGCTCTTTTGGTTAAGCATGCTACACAGTGATGGGGGCCAAGCATACCCTGCCTCAAGGAAGACTGCGGCTGGATCCACCTGTCTTCTAAAATACATCTGGGACACTGGAAAGGGCAGTTTTGGCATTCCCCATTCTGGAAAATGTGACCAGCACAAAATCACAATTGCAGGAGCCAAGAGGGCCTAAACAGTGCAAGAGAGATGTGAAAGTGCTAAGTCAGCAGCATTCTGTTGGTGCATAAGCTTTCCACTGGCTGCAGCCAATATACCCCAATACACACTATCCACACTATCAGAAATACCTCCTCATTCTGATGGGAAAAGAAATGTATGTGAGAGGGAATGCTGGCTGAGAAGACAATCTATTACCTGCAAGCCTGAAATCATCTTCTTTGCTTCCTCCATTTCCTTTTCCAAATGGTCCTGTTGTTCCAAAAGCTGCTCCTCCCATGAATTCTCCAAATATGACCCAGGGTTCCCAGCTTGCCACTCAGGCTGGAAATGAGATTCTGTCTCTTCTGGAAGACAGAACAGCCAAATGTGGTCATGGCAGACAGAGGAGTCCAGAAAAGACTTCCATCACACAACGACTGCCAGCTGTCTGCACTATCACTAACAAACCAGCATGTCTTCGAGCCTGTACCAAGGAAGTTGCTACAGGTGTGACATCTTGTCTAATCTAAAAGATTTATGTCCCATTCTATATGCAAAGGATGCTTTCCTGAATACATATGTATTAAAGATAAGCATCCTTCCTCTTTGTTAATTTTGCTGCATCTAATTCCCCGGTACTGGAGATTTCAAAGCACATCACAGGGGACAATACCCTGCACCATGTGTGGCAGAAATTACCTAAGGAGAGAAAAGCAACCGTGGGATTTGAAGAGTATATCCTAGCTTTAGAAGGTGCATCAAGGACCCACTAAAGGCAACATAAACAGTATTTCTACTTGTCAAATAACATGGCTTTCCCTAGGTGGACAGCACACCTAATTCTAAACCAGACTTTCCTCTTAATAGCAAAGTTTAATAGCCTTGCATGGCTTTCCTGATCCCTACAGCATAAGCTGCATCACTGGTTAGCTACCATCCACTGGCTAGGCCAAGCATTTCCTAGGAGAGCTTCTCTGTCACTTCCTCTTGGATGCTAACCAGAAAGAGTTACTATTAGACTGCATTTTTCAGAAGGAAAAGAAACCAACAAACAACAAAAATGGATTTGAAAACTTCTTTGAAAACCTCTTTCAATCTGCCTGAAAATTTTAAGTGCAAACTGACCATATCACAGGGCATTTGTGGCAATTCAGCAATGGACTTCTCAATGCAAACATCATGACAATACTAAACATGTATGGTGTGATTTGAGGGTTAAAAGTTTTGGGATTCAGTTTTACGTGAACAGATTTTCTACATTCATTTCAGTCACCAGGGAACTTTTCAGCAAGTTTACATCACAAACAAATGCTCATGAAAATGTGAGCTGTAAAGCATTATCTGCAAGGTACCTGTTTTAGTTTCTGTTTCTTCAGTGTGGATGATCACAAGTCTTTCCTTCTCCTCTGATGGGGCTACAGTGGACTCGCTCTTCACACTGTGGGTAGGACTAGGTGATGTAAGACTGCAGAGGAATGGAGAAACAGTTACTTTAGTGCTGATCAGCATCGTCCTCATCTAAGATAAAAGTGAACATGCAGGCAGGCTTCTTGAAACTAGGAATTATCTTCACGCTAGAGAAGCCATTAACAAACCAAACTGGGCATGTAACTTTTCTATCACTCCACATCAGTGTTATAGTACTCTAAATGATAAGTAGCACAACGTGCCTCTTCATTTTCCTTAACCGAATGCAAGCTTGAGACTGTTATCAGAGAATTCACATACACTCATACAGGTATGAGACCACACTCTACTGAAGGTCAGCTCAGAAATTACTTAGTGTGAGCCTTATATTCATACTGCAAGCAGAACAAAAAGTCACCCTGGCTTGCTTCATCTCTTGCTGCAGCTTTCAGAAGCACTACTTAGCTAACTTGAAAACCCAAGGGCAAAACATTTTATAAGTCAGATACCAGTCACCCATGTTTTGAGTTAAAACTTCTTGAAAGCACCCACATCTTGTCACTGAAGCCATCTCAGCTGACTGAGGTTCAAGCAATCCTTTTCAGACATTCTTCCTAAATTCATCACCCAGACAACATCAAAAGGTAGCTGAAGCTCACTGACCCATTCAGTGTACCTCTAAAGTCGCAGGAACTAATCCTTGCAAGTGTGAGAAGGAGTTAATTTTTCATTCTCCCCAACACAGAAACAAAGGACAGAGAACAAAAAGAAAACAGTATAGAAATAATAGAATAGGTTTAGAAAAATAAGAGGCTTCAACAGCTCGTCTTCCGCATCTTCCCAGCACTGCTGCTACATATTCCACCGCTCTCTCACAGAATCAGAAAAAGCCTGCAATAGAGATGGAAATGACTTGCTACCAGCTCCTGTCTGGTCTACTCCCACAGCCAGTGCTGGCCTACTTCTCATTTATATTACAGCCCTTCAAGCAGTCTAGTGTTAATGGTCCAGACTAAATGGACTTTCACCATGTTAAAGGAAGAGACTGATGCAACTTACTAAGTGAAAGAGTAACCATCTTCTAATGGGGATTTCTAACAGCTACAGTACTGCTCTTTCCTGCTCAAACAGGGTGCACATGACTGTTAAAAGGGTCCAGGAGGGTGGGGTTAAGTGGTCCTTACAGGTCTCCCCAACACAGAGAGTTTGACAGATAATTGATTAGGGATTCCTTTGTCCACAGTCTCCTTTGCAGGCAGGTTCCCTACCTCTCAAAACATGCCAAACAATCCAAGAGCTACTGAGATGCACTCAGATGAAGCAGTAGCAGTGATCAGGTTGCCTCTTACATTATGCCTTCAGGTTAATGCTGGAAACATTTCTACAGTTTCTTTATTGATCACCAAATCAACAGATTATGAAATATCCACTGATGTAATTTGTTCTTTAAAGTACATACAATCCATGATTAAAGCATGCAGAAGGAAGTGCTGGGAATTAAAGCTATTAAAGACAGATTTATGAATGCGAACTGTTCCACTTTATTCCTTTTACCAATTGGTTTCCTAACACATATCCTTTCTCCACCGATTCCCAGAGCTGCCAGTGCTTGCACAGTCAAGGCTTTAGGGCAACATCCCCAGCGATAAGTCTGAATCCTCATCATTTTAATAAACACCCCATCCCTGCCGTTTCAAATGACAATGGCAACAATCGCTCACCATTTGACCTGCTTCCCTCCCATGATCCCACTTTAACCTTTCGCCTCACAGAATCCGTTTCCCGGGGAGCCTCAGGATTCTGGCTACAGACATGCCTTGTCCCTTCACATGCTCGGAATTCAGTGCAGAAAACACTAGGTCCTGTCAAACTACTGGAGAGATATTTTCAAGCCGCTCCACATTAGCCGGAAGATTCACAGCAGAAAGGAAAAAACAACCAAAACCCTCAGGGTCTTTGCAAGAAGCCGTCAGATGGCAGATCAGCAGCCCACACACATGGATCTGATTCCAGAGTCAGGGATTCTGAAGCCCAGGTTTTGCTTTTGCTGGTTTTCCTCTCGGGTTATTCATCTTTTGCTGCTGCATTTCGGCCACCTGGACACCCAGTTGTTTTCATCACAAGGACCGTGATCAGAATTGCCAGTGGTGTTTCTCATCCCATTCTGCCCTCTTTAGACTCCAGGCACCTGCTGCAGATGCCAAGGAACAGCCGAGAGAAGGTGCTCCTGCAAGCAGTAGGTTCCCTCTCCTCCAGGCTCGGATGCAGTGTCGGAAGACAGCATGCAGTACTTCCCAACCCTGTGCACGGCTTCCTCTTCCTCGGTATCTCCAGCTCCCTCTCCCTCCTGCTGTCACACAGGCTGTGCAAGGCAGAGCCTTTTCTCTGAGATGCGTGGCTCAGAGTGGGGGAGGGAAGGCTGGTGGAAGGGGAGGGGAATGGGAGATGGGTGGGTGAGGGGCTCAGTGGCCTGGGAAACCATCTGATTTTGGCAATTTTTCCATGAATCATTTCAATTGCCTTTGCTTATTAGAGCTTTTGTCTCTGGGAATTCTCTTATTCGGGCTGTGAGCTCTCTTACTGAAGAGTTAATGCAGAAATGAGCTGATGCTAGGCAGGGGATGCTGCCCTGGGACAGACACAACAGCAGCACAATTAGATGGAGGGGGCTGGCTGCAGTTAATAACCATATCGCTCAAATTAAAGAATAACAATAATAAAAGAAGTGACTTGTTTCTCCCAGCCAATTCTCATAACTAAACTGGTACATTTCCCTCTGAAAGGAAAGAGAAGCAAGCATCTTGTTCTCATCACGAAGCCTGCTATCAGCAGAAGACACCTCCAGGAGCTGGAGATCAGGCTGCTCCAAATTTCTATGAATAGATCACCGATTGCTTATGTGAAGATTCTCACCATAGTTTGTCCTGTCAGTAATATCACCATTACCATATGGTAAAAGAACTCATGATATGATGGGGAAAACCAGAAAACACAACAGGGCGGTTAGGATGTGCAGAGAAATTTTCACTCACCCCCAAAATACAGCCATGTAAGATCAAACAGCAGCTGTCTGACAATCCATCATACGGTAGAAGAGTACACATAAAACATGAGAGGCCTTAAACTGAAGAATGAGTGGAGGGAGCAGCACGTTTCACTCTCTGTCCTACTGAGATTACGTTTGAACAGTCAACACCAAAGTCCTCTGATATAAACCATGAAATCTTGTTGCAAAGACCAGAATATTTACAGCTCCCCCGCAGTGATAGCTTCGAAAGTGCACTCTCTACTGCCATCATGTGGAGGCAGTGGTCCTGGCACACATGGAGCTCCCACACTCCTCCAAACGTGAACGTCCGGATTTACAAATACGAGATCACAATGATACACAGTAAATTTGGGGGAATAAATAAAAAGTATATTTCTTTTCTTCTCTGTTGGGCCAAGCAACCTTAATTCTCAGGTACGCAGATGCCTCTTCTACTGTGGAGCATCAAAAGTGGCCTGAGAAGTCATGTGGAGACGTCCTGTCTGTTGAGAAATTGTCAGTGGCAATCTGTCCTGGGAAAATGAACCTCCTCACTTCCTTCCAAAGGCTCCACCTGTGCATTCAGGCTGGCAGTAAAATCTTCAGCTGCACCCTTCCTAATCCTATTCCCCTGGTGTCCTTGAGGAACACTCCAGAGTTTTAGAAAATTGAAACTCAGAAGCTCTTAGCACTTAGCTATGCAATCATATAATGAATCACATAAATTCTATCACAGCAGTAAGCTACTGCTTCATGTTGTTTCCTGAGGCTTCATTCTCCAGATCAGGAAGCAGACTACATGCTGGGAATCCTCTTTTCTATCAGAGCTAACTAGATCACAGTGATGAGAAAGGGCACTTTAGGCAACATCAGACAAAGGTCCATGAAGGACAGATCATGGCAACAGAGGTCCTTACCTGGAAGAGTGGGACTCCAATGGCATGTTCTGCTGCCCTTCATACTGCTGCACCAGTGCCCGGACACTCCAGTAAGGGTTTTCAATCTCCTCATCCATGTTGCTATTTCTGGAGATAATAATCATAGAATGAGGGAAGCCTCACCTGATGGGAGCAGAAATTCTTGTCTCCAAGAAGGAGAGTAGGAAAGCTAATAAAAGGAAGGTAAGGAGGGGACAGCTAGAAAACTGCTGATCAAGAAAATTCTCCTATCAGGGAGCTCCATTCCACCTTCTTGGTGTGAGGGAAACACAGGCAAACAGGCCCTCCCCTTTTAAACTCATCCTTAACTCTGTGATTAGAAAACTATGAAAGCTCTGGGAAGACAAAGAAAAGAACAGAATTTGCAAATAGCACAAGGACTTGCTTTTCTGAGAAACCCTCTTGGCTCAAGGCAGTTGCAATAGAAAACTTTAACATTTAATTTTTCAACAAGATATAGCATTTCAACCTGATTTCCAAACTGCTTCCCTTGGGCCAAGATAATATGGGCAAATGACCTTCAGCTGTGTAAATTAAACCCTCAGTAGACCACCATCTGGCTGCCATTTAAATGTCATTACTATTATTATTATTATAATCCACATGGCACCTTTTGCAAGTGTTAAATGTCCTTTTCAGAATTACTTCCATTATATACAGAAGCATTTCTTCTGTATATGGATCACCTCCTTTCTTTATGACCAGAACTCCGGTAGGCTGCATCAGCTGATTAACAGTACACAACATACTGCCTATATAGCAGCAAGTGTAACATTGGGATGAACAACAATGTAGAAGACAGAATGGACTTGTACAACAGGCTCAGAACCTCAATTCTGGAAGTAGCTGCTCCCAGATCTGTAACCAGTACCAGTAGTTAAAAGCTTACTGTTGTTTCACTTGAAATGAGAATGTCTCCAAGTAGACAGCACCAAAAAGGGCAGTGTGCTCAGCATGAAATGAGGAAAATGAGGCAGCAGAGTTCCCTCTGGCTTGGCCGTAACAAACTGTTCTCTTTTGCAGTGAGATAACAGAGATGTAGCAGTTATTTTGCTGTAAAACCTGAAATGAACCTGGGATACCTGCAGTCTTCATCAAGAGGCACCCAGGCTAGGTCAGTACTCCCCTGTGTTAGGCCACTATCTATTTAGGTTTTAGTGAGCCTGCAGCGGTTTGCCTCTATTTGTTTGCACAATAATAGAGCTACCTTACACCAGGAACTGTCGGGATAAAGATGGATCTATTTTAGATGAAGTTGTGTCCATCTGCTGACATAATCCGACCTCACAACCAGGGAAAACTCATTACCTCTGTCTGCGCCGGAAAACATCCCGGCCCGATTGCAAGACATCTTGACGAACATCTGCCAGAGCAGCCACTGCTCCTTGGGCCACTGCAGCAGCTGAACGAGGCCTGTGACCTGCAGATGATGCTGACAAGTTTTTCCCCATCGTGACAGCAGGGCTGTGATTCATTGCTCTACCAGAGCCTGGTTTGAAATGAGCAGCTAAGGCCAGGATCAACCTCATGATAGATTTCAAGTTCCCATCAACAATATCTGCAAAATGCAAATAAAGCCAAGGACAATGCCATTAACATGAAGTCCCACCAGAGCTGTATCTGACCAACAAGCATGAAAATAATTAAACCCAATGGGACCATGCCAGTAAATGAGGACTGTGCAAAAAAGACTGCATTATAGCATTGATGCTTAGCTCTGACTGCTTTGTACAGAGCAGCAAACTGACTGCCACCTATAGATCGCATGTTCAAATACTCAGAACACATCTGAATCTTACCTCTGTGCCCATTTCCAGCTCACAATCCAGTGGGTTATGTGGCAGCACATGATAATTACTGAATGCTCACTGGAAAAGTGCAGCAGTTACTGAAGACTACCATTGTGCCAGCAGTCACTTCAATCTGCACATGGAATTTGCATTTGTTTAATACTAAAGACCAGAGAATAGCACTATTTTCTTCAGCAATAGTGTCTTGTACCATAATCTGTAGCATGCTGCAAATGTTAAATAACCAGTTTTAATGATACCATACTAGGCATTTTCCCCAGCATACGAACTAGCTCAAACATGTTGATCTCGAGTTCACTGCAAAAATCTCTGCTAAAAACAAGGGTCACGCACTCCATGTAGTCTGTCATTCAATTTTTCCCCTCTTTCTCATCTAAGGACCACAATCAGAACTGTTACTAAACCACAGGAGGAAAGAAAACCCAAAGCCTCCCCCACAAACCAATACATCATCTGTTTGATATCAAGGACAGAAACAGACCTTCACAAGACAGAATCATCTGCGTTGACCACCAGGGCACATACCTTTTGCTGATGTCTGATGCATGCGGATTTTTTTTGATGCCACAAACTGTAATACTTTCTCCACATTTTCCCTCATCTGCTGCTGGCTGGTGGGGTTGGCCTGAATGCCATTCAACTTCTCACCAGCTAAAGGAGTGAAAGAACTTTGTTAGAGAAGAACCGAACCACTTGGTGTTGTCAGAGGAATTGCTATAGGTGTAGGGCCTGGTGAAAAACTGCAGCCCATGGGAATGACTCACATTGGAGAATGTCCATGCTCCAGCACAGGACCCCCACTTCAGCAGGGGAAGAGTGTGGAAGAGGAGGAGGCAGCAGAGACAATATGCAATGAACTGACCAAAACCCCCATTCCCCATTCCCCTGCACTGCTCATGGGGAGGAGGTAGAGAATTCAGGAGCAAAGTTGAACCCAGGAAGAAGGGAGGATGCCAGCCGGCAGGTCACTCTTCCAAACATGCCACACACTAACACCATTCCTCTACAAGGTAAATCCTTTCATAACTCCATTCCAGCCTTGTGGGAGTTAATATGGTCCCTGACAGATTTAGCACTTCAGCTGTAACTGTCTGCTAAAAATAAGGACTTTGACAGAATTGCATTTATGATCTGCTTTACAATTGTTTTCTTCCAAAGTCACTCCTTCCCCCTCTCCAAGCTCTGACATTGTCGTTAACATCTGCCAGTATGCCTGACAGATGTCAGAGCCAAGGCCAGCCCCTTCTACACAAGCTCTAAAACTGTAAGATGAAAAATAGTGGCATATGGTGTTACTGACCTACAATCTCAATGAGCAAAGCAAGAATGACTCCATCTCGGAGATCCTGTCTGAGGTCTTGGACTGGCTTTATTGTTGGCTTCTTCTTCAGCTGGGAATTCACCCAGGCCACATATGCCTGCAGTTGTTGCTGAAAATAGAAAACAACATGTTTGCACATGATTGCCATTTCGGGGGAAGCTGCATAGCTCTCTCTTTTTCATGTTCACAGATCTCATTGTCTTTTGCCCTTGAAAACAAACACCAGTGGTATCATTCCAAAGCCTGCTGAGCACTAACTGACATCACTGCATACTATGGTGCAGCTCACTCCATGTCAAGCCAGGAAGTGCAAGTAGGCAGTAGGACAGGACTCACGCTCTAAGCACAGCTGAGAAGAGAGATTTTATTATTACATTTAATCCAGGTAGGTGCCAAACAGGTGCTGTTATCCCTCCAGTTTTGGTGCCAGAACTGGTTCACTCACAGTAGAAGCAAGAAACCTTGTGCTATTGCCTACTGAAATACGCCATCTACCAAAAGAAACAACCAGGACAGATTTCCTGGAAGAGACAACAGCCTCTCTCCTTACACTCCTAGCATGGCTCATTTGTACTGTTGCAGAGTCCCCTTCCTCCATTTCCTTGGAGCTGTGCTAACATTTCTAATGGAATTATTTCTATTTCTGTACCTATGGAAAGTGGCTTGCCACAGCACTGCAAGCCGCACCTGCAAGACCTGAGAGCAAGGAGCACTGTCCTTGAAGCCGGTCATGCTGGGTACTGCATCATACAGTTGTGCATGTTGCCACAAAGGGAAGATCGTGAAAACCTTAGGCTCCTCGTCAGTGTTAGGATCCATTTAGCATAAGGCAAAGAACAGATTCACATGACCTTTTCCTTTCCATCCCCCTCTCAGTAACGCTTCCATGGCTAGTAGAAGCACTGGTAACACTGAAATCCATTTGGGCTGGGCTGGTGTGGTACATGGAGGGTAAACAAACATCCATTTATGCGATTACCTCCCTTTTCACTAATCTTCCCTTTATTCTGCTGATGCAGCATGTTTTACAGCTCCATTCTGTATTATCTCAGCAATGTCAGTCAGAGTTTATGCTTTTACAGCCCATCAAAGTCACAATCTGATCACAGCTTCGCTCTTAATTATCCTGGCACAGGAAATCCAACTTTAATCACACCATGGTTCAGTCTGCTGGTTCAGAAAGGCGACTGGACCTGCATTCAATCAGTTCTGCTCACTCAGCAGAGAACTGGACAGCAGAACAGAGGAGATGAGTTTGGGGGACTGCCCAACAGCTTTTGGGAAAAAAAAGGAAGCAGAAGCGGCAGATCTGATGCATGCTTGCTGGAGCAGACTTGGCCTGTCACATGAATTGGATCTGCATGCTCTTCTTTGCAGTAACAGCAATGTTGTGTGTCAGTTTTGCCTATCCAAAATCAATTTATTCAAGCAAGCACCACAGAAAAGATGTAAGTTTGTCTATAGTAATACAGCATCATTATAGGAATATATAAAGATGAATCAAATAGGGTTGCAGCGTGAAAACTGCATCTTGAAATCTATGTGATTTAGGGAAATAATCTTATCACAATTATGTTTAACACCTTGCTGTCATTTTCCAAATAACTTCACAAAGTTCT